GATTTTAAAATTATTTATAAGAAAACTTAAGGAAAATATTTTTAAAATTGACTAAGAAACGTAAACAATAATATTTTTACTCAAATTTTTTCTTTATGTAATTTTTAACAATATTCTCTTTGTAAAAAATTGTAATAATATTGAATTTCAAATTGAAGATGGTTTAAAATTTGGAACGTAACAAAAGCAATTTACAATAAAAAAAGTAAAGTTTCCAGATTTTTTTGATTAATAAAACCAACATTATTTTAAGAATAACTTTTTATAAATTGTTAATCTGATTCTAATCAAAAAAATATTGAATAATAATTTAAAACGAGAGTTTTTCTAATTTATGATAAAAATTTTAAAAATCTTGTTTAAAGATTATGCAAAAATTTATTAATTTATTTAATAAATGTTTTAAAATATTAACTAACTTTATACCTGTAATAACAAAATCAGTAAATAAATCATCTATAAAATCTGAGAATAAAAAAGAGAATTCTTTATAGAAAATTTTGATTGTATATCAAATAAGACACAGAAGACAATTATTATTGCTGATGAATGTAACTTTTGTCTTTTTTACTGTTATAGAATATAATATGTAAAATTTTAAAATCGTTTAAAATTCGATGATTTTATTTTTTATTGTAAAGTATGGCGGAAAAGTGTAATAATTTTGGCTTTATATTATATAGAGAAATTGGAAAAATTGTTTTTATTTTAAATATCAAAAATGCTGCTTTTTAAAGACGAATTTTTACACAAAATCTTAGAAATATAGTATCTTAAACAGGTTTCTTTGATTATATTAAATACAAGACAATTACCCAAAAAATACTTAAAGACTCATTTTAGATTAGTTAGATAAAAAAATAAGAATATTAAACTGGCATCAAAAGTCTAAGTTTTAAGCTTCATTAAAACAGCACAAATATTAGTTTCATCAGGAAAAACTAATTTAGGTAATTTAAAGAAGAATGAATTCAAGTAAAAAACAATTAAGGCTCGATATTCAATAAACAAGTAAATGATTTAAAATTATGTTTAAAGTTTTCATTAAATATGTTTAGCGGTTTATATAATAAAGAAAAAACACTTAGTTTAAAACTTTAATACCTTGTATTTTGTTAATTAAATTTTTTTTGAGTCCATTTAAAAGTATTTTTTATTAACTTTTTATTCAATTCTATATCTGTATTGTTTTTTTATGTTAAATAGAACTTTTATAGTATTTCTTAATGGTTAACATTTTTCATTTTAAAAATGTTTGTTTAATATTTAAACATTATTGTATATTGTGATATAACAAAAATATTTGATTTTTTAATGATTTTTGTAATAGGTATTGAAGCTTTATTCAAACAAGGTATATAATATTTTTTAATAAAAATATTTAAATACAGCTCAAAAGAGTTTTATTATTTCTGAAAAGAAGCATAGCAGTCGTAGAAACATATATTATTAAAAATACAATTTATAAGTTGGAATATAGTACAGTGGTGGAATATAAAATTGAGCTATTAAAAAATAAATAAAAGCTATAAAAATACATATTTTTATAACTAACAATATTTAATTATATCTATCTTACATACTTCTTATTTAAAAATTGATAAAATTGATAACTGAAATAGAAATTTTAAAAATGAAAAAAAATTAGCCTTAAAAATTTTTTTAATTTTACCTCAAAAAATATTAAAAAAACTATCTAATATTCTTTTATTATATTTTTTTAACATTTATAAAGGCTGAAAAGAATTAAATAGTTGGATATTTTAAAACCAACATGAGAAAATAAGATATTATAGGACAGTTTTCAATAAATAAATTAAACTTTAACAAGATATTATAATACTATCTAAATATTATCAATATCAATTGTAAAAAGGGATTTGGAAGACCAAAAGATTTTAACGATTTTCATATAAAATTAATGAAGAAAAAAGTTGAAATTTTGGCAAAATTTTTATTAAAAAAGATTGCTGAAGAAATATACATTGGATTTAATATAAATTATTATATTAGAACTGTAAGAAACTATCTTTAAACAGGTAATTTAAGTGTTTGTAAATTTTTAAATAAACCTCTTCTTAGCAGTAAATCTTATTTCTAGATTTTAATATTTTAAAGAATATTTATGGAATTCCGAAGCATATTGGAAAAAAGTTTTATGGTCAAATGAAAAGAAAATTAATATACTTGGGTTTAATGATATAGTTTATGTGCGCAGACCAAGAGGTTTAAGAGGTGTAAAAAAATCCATGACACTAACTGTAAAACAAGGTGAAGAAAATATCGTATTATTAGGATGTTTCTTTATAAAAGAATAGGAAAAATTGGAATTACCCTGAGAAATATTACAGAATTATATTATAT